GCTGAAGTGGTGTTCATGGGTGTCCAGCCACCTTTATTGTACTCACCCTCTGTTTGCTTTTGAGGTAAAAATAACCCTGGAATCCTTTGTTTCCCGGCAAGCTGAGATAATGGAACCTGTGGATCATTTCCAGCCCCAAAGGCTGCACGTGAGGTTTATTTTGGTGGAAATTCACCCTGAATGCTACCCTTCAGGCTGTAGCTGAAATCCTGACCCACCCCTGCAGTGAGGGTTCTGAAATGCCCAGGCCCCATTTTCAGATGCTCCTAACTTGGTTGTTTTTTAAGCATCTCCAGGGTGCTCAGCACTTCACACACACAGACAATGGCTGTCTTGAGATGCTGAAACTGAGACAGAAATGGGTGTGTAGGGGCCCCGGGAGAAGGTCTTCAGGAAGAATTAAGGGCTTGAGTATAAGGCAGCTTATTTGCTTTGTTGAGGTTGGTTCTGTGCACAGCACCTACCAGCAGCTATGTTTTCTTCCCGGCTAAGGCTATGGACAAATGGACAAAACACTGAGAGTAAAGCAGGAGATGGGGACTTGCTGTACTGTTGTGTTCCTACTCTTATCCCATGGTAAGCAAAAGCTCACAAGGGCAGCTTAGCCCTGTTTCACTGAGGCTTAAACTTTTGGTTTAGGTTCCATTTATCATGGGTTAAGAGGGGGCACATGAACAGATACCCTGGGGCAGCTGACATGTCATTAGTCCCTACCCCCACATTAATTTGCTGTAATTTGTTAGCTTGCCCATACCCAAAACTTGTAATGCTTCTTTACATCCAAGTATGCTTATACCAGTGCAGTTAGACCAATCTAGGGGTACCAGCATAATCCCCCATGTGGACTGTCATATTAGAGAAAGTGTGTGCCTTCTGGTTTAGGTTACATTGTTTCGGAAGTGGAAAAAGTCATTCTTATTCTGGAATAAAAATGTCCAAATGTGGATTTACACAGGTCTAATAGTTTAACTGAACTGATATAAATAATAGTACAATGCCCTATATAGATAAAACCTAAAGGCTTAGCCCAAGCAAGCTGTTCCTACATGCATTTTGCAGACTCTGAACCTCACTGCTACTCTGAATGCTGACTTTGGGGCTCCATCCTGTGACGCCTCCTGAAGAAGTAGCCTTGTCAACACTAGAAAAGCCCCACTTTGTTGATACCCATTGGGCATTTATACACATGCTCTGGGAGGCAGGGGAGTGGCTCTTTAATTAAAGCGGCTCTGAGATCCACTCTACTTAACACTCCCGGAGCATCACGTCTATCAGTGTCCCCATGCTAAAAAATAGCAGTAGGGGCGCTTTAACTAAAGCTCATTGAATGAGCTTTAGTTAAAGTGCCCCCATCATCATTTTTCATTGCAGGGATGCTGATGCACATGACGCTAGAGTCTGCTGGAGTGCAGTAATTACCACGCTCCAGCAGACTCCATTAATCGAGTCTGCTTCTCGGAGCAGCCTCAATGCATGTGTATAGGCGTCCGTTGTCAGAACTGAGCATTCTTCCTAATGTAGACAAGGCCTGAGTAACTTCTCTGGGGGAGGCATTTATGTGGCACCTTTAAGGACTGGACACCTTTGTTTCCTTCACAATAGAAAAGCCGCATGGAAAATAATCAGCTACATACATTCCCTGCCTCTGTGCAGCAAGATGGATGCCATAGTGTGGCTTAACTGATTACATTCCCATCAGCAGATAGCTTGAGACACCTTGCTTCTGAAGTCATCTGCTCATGACTGTCAGAGAGGAAGTAGTTCCCTGCAGAGTAGGATGTGGTTCAGAAGATGCTTTAATACAAACAGGGCATGTCTGCATGGGAATATTAATGCAACACAATAAACTCTAGCACAGTTCATACCAGAGTTTATTGCCCCCAGGTGCAGCATTTACGTGTGTGCTCAGGACCCCAGCACATTGAGCTGGGGCAGTGCAGTCCCAGTTTGTAGGGGGCCCTGGGGGCCAGCTTGCCAGCCCAGGGCTGATCTTGCCCGGCTCAGTGTGCTGCAGAGGGCCTGGCTGGGGTATGAGGGTGCTACAGTGCGGGGCTAGACAGCAGGCAGCCCTGCACTGTAGCACCCTTGTGCCCCAGCCAGTTCTGGTTGTCGATTACACATGTTGTGGTGGAGTAAATAACTCCACTGTAGAATAGTACTTGTTCAGGCAGTACTTTCCTATAACAGAGTTAATTAGTTTACTCTGGCCTAATAGCACTGCTTGTGTAGACAGGTGACGAATTATTGTGGAGCTAATTGGTCAATTCCACAGTAAGCGTCTTGTGTAGATGCACCCACAATCTACCAATATTCACATGAAATTTGAAAATGATTCAATCTTAATGGAAGTGGGGCTGGGTTGTGTTGAAAGGGAGGGTACTTGCAAATCCTGCCTTAGTCAGTGCTAGCTGCATGAGTGTGCCATCTTCCTGGAGAAGCAGCCTGGTCAAACCTGCAACCATTCATGTTCTCAGGGAAGCCAAAACCAAGGACCGAAGGCACTCCTTTGTTTCCTAGGGTAGAGGGCGGGGCTTCCTGCTGGATGACATCACAGGCAGAATTCTGACATCCTCAAGCTGCTTAACCTTTGGAAAGTTTTCCCCAGACAAGCAGGGGAATGAAAGCCAAATGGCAAGATTCTGACCTGATAGGGAAAACAAAGACAGAGAAGAACAAACAGAGACTTATCAGGAGGGGCTTTAAGGTTACTGGTTACTGCCCCCTTACTGGTAAAAAGCTGTTCTGTTGAAGCTGTGTTCTCTACCCTTGGAAAACCTCTCTGAGGATACAATACAGCTCTGTTAGTTCAGGTGAGAGTGGGTAAATATATGTTGGTGGTATCTGATCACCGGTGAAGGACATAAGTCTTGGCCAACTGGCTTTTTCTGATGCAATCTCTTGCTGATGCAAGGCAAAAGAACAGGGTGATCAGGAAGTATGGGAACTCTACCCAGCTACAAGGGGCCAGTGCCTGATGGCTCACAGCCAAACAGCTGAGGGAGAGGCAGAGAGTCCCAAAGAGCAAAATGTCATCCTAATAAAAGTAGCACAGAACAGCCATCCAGCCTTGTGCCAGCATTGCCAGGGGAAGAACTTGCTTATATGTATGCTCAAAAACAATTGCAGACAAGGCAATGAGCTTGTGACAACTACAGCACTTTCACCCATGATCCAGTTGCTGAACAGGTGAAGGGGAGGGGGGAAGGTAAAGGCAAAACAGAAGAGGTAGGTGGGTGTTTCCATCTTCTTTAAGGTCCTGTCCACAGTGGACCTGCAAACTCCTAGCAGATGCATTACACACCATCTGACAAGTACAAATCATTCTGGACTAGCATGAGTAATACACACATGATGGGCTTGCAGTAGTTCAGCTCTACCAGTGGCAAAAATCCAAGTGCAGACAAGGCTGCAATGAGAAATCATGTTGCCCATTGCCAGTACCCATAGCAGAGGACCAACTGGGTACATTTTAGATGATTATTTTCTCCCACCAGCTCTGTATTATTTACCCTCTGAAATGCAACAGAGTGAAGAGTATAATACTGAGAGAGATACAACCCTCACCACTGGCACCAAACCCTTCCCATACATAGCATTTGACTTTAGAGCTAAACTCTGTAGCTAAGACCCAGCTGTAAATTAATTCCAGAAGCATTGTCTCCAAGGCTATTCCAGTCCTTGGCTTTGCTTCTGCCTCCTTCTTTTTCTCCAGTCAGTTCTTTCTGGCCAGCAACATCCCTGCATCTCAGGGGATTTTGTGAATCTACAATTAGAATCTACAGACTAAGCCTATGAACTTCACTTCAGAAGCCTCCTGGATACAAAAACTCATGGACTCAATATAGACATTTGATTGATGACACATTATATAACCTGTTGGACATCCGACTCCCCAGGTACCTCTCCACTTTTACCTGCTGCATCTTCCTTCCTACTCCGCCCCCCGCCCCCAGCCTGTCCTTCACCCCCTGACATCAATTTATAAATTCATAGATGTTAGGGTCGGAAGGGACCTCAACAGATCATCGAGTCCCACCCCGTGTCTAGGCAGGGGGGTACACGCCCCCCCCCCCACCTGCCTATCCAGCCTTCCCTTAAAGACCCCCAAGGTAGGAGAGAGCACCACCTCCTTGGGAAAACCATTCCAAATTTTGGCCACCCTCACCGTGAAGTTTTTCCTGATGTCTAGCCTAAATCTACTCTCCAACAGTTTGTGACCATTGTTCCTTGTTACCTCAAGAGGTGCCCTGGTGAACGGAGCATCTCCAATACCTTGCTGCGCCCCCCTAATGAATTTGTAGGCAGCCACAAGATCACCTCTCAGCCTTTTCTTGTGGAGGCTGAGGACGTCCAGGTCCCTCAGTCTCTCCTCACAGGGCTGTCACAACCCAATGATTTTAAGTGCCTTGGCACGGTGGAATTTTCCCGCCACCTGAGAGTCTCTGTGCACAGCAAAAGTTTTCTGTTGCAATAGAAAACTCCGGTGCAAGAGAGTTCCCACCATTCGTATGCAAATTTGTGTCCCACTATTGGCCAGTTCTAAATTATTCCTACGTGGCGGCTAGCGATTGGCTTGCTGGCCGTATAAAATTCTGTGCGACTTCCGCCCAAGTCGGAGAACTTTGAGCACGCTGCAGAGTGACTTTGAAGATTCCTGACTCGTGGCTGAGCTAATCGATAGCCTGATCAACTATCGATTTTTCTCCCCGTCGCCGAGCGCCATCCCTCGACGTACCCCTTTTCCTGCATGCCTAGTTTGTTTACGGATTCACTGGCCTCAGTCTTGCCAGCTGGAGCAACTTGTGTAATTATTTAAGCGATTGGACCACCTGCGTCGCGGCTACTAGTGGCGTAAGTAAAGCTTTTTTGCAACCAATACGTTTTGTCTGCCTCTCCATTCACCAGCCCACCCAACAACCGAGCAATTTCTAGATCACCTCAAGTCGGCTCCGGCCGTCTGAGA